AAGTAGGTGAAAGTGCAGCATTATCAATTCTTTCGTCAATTGACATTCTTGCAAAAAAAATATTTTTTAAGGAATATATTGGTGGTACATTCTTAAAAAAAATTAAAATAAATGTAGTTAATTTTTATTGGTCAGGACCACTGAACCGGGGTTTGAACCGGGGTTTAACCGCGGTTGATTAAACCGCGGTTTGAAATGTGTAAACCAAACCGCATCGGTTCGGTTTCGAACTGCCGGTTGAACCTGTTTGGGTTGAACCGTTCCCATCCCTAATGATCGTTAATCATGATGTAATATTTAGCACATCACATGACTTCCGTGGTAAGTTCGTTCTAATTGGTCAATATTAACGGTCAATTGGTTGGTCCACGGTTTACAATCTCACAATATGAGGAATATTTTGATTTTTTCCCAAATATTATTAAATTAATTCTAATTGCACATACAATACCTAGAATGTGAACATGGTTTTTCAAAACAAAATTTGATCAAAACTAAATGTAGAAATTTATTAACTGCATCTTCATTATATTTATGGATGAGAGTTGATTTGGAAGGCCCAGATAGCAAAGTTTTTGATTTTCAAAAGGTCTGGTTAATTTGGAAGAATGAAAAGAAGAGAGATTTAGAAATTTCAATAAATTTAAATTTAAAATTTATTTAGAATTACATTGTGTAACTCAGAAAATGGCCAATTCCCAAAATTTTTATCGGACATTCTAAAATTTTATCAGAATGGCTGGAATTTTATAATAGGATTTCGCACCCTGGGGGCAAGTTTTATTTTCCGAAAAATTTCCAGTGATCTACACAATTTTTTATTATTAAAATTTTGAATTGAATGTCTTCATACCCTCGTTTGATACCCTTGTTGTGTAGCAATTGCCACCAAATTTGATACATAACTTCTTTATCATATGTATCTGGTTTAAAAAAATTTTTGAAGCAAGTTGTTAATAAAACCGAAAATAATCTCAGCCTTAAAGTCAAATTTTAATTTTATATTCGTATATGTAGAAATTTGTTAGCAGGTCCAATTGCAAGCAAAGGTAAATTAAATGTCTAAATATTATATTTAAAATATTTACAGAATTATGTTCATTTTACTTCCTAATACTAAGGTGCATGTCTTTTATATTTTAAACAAATAAATATTGATTTATTATTATTATTATATTTATATTAATGTGATATGAAAAAATGATATATTAATATTAATATACATTCTATTAGAAGAGTAATTGTGAAAACCGATTATGGCGTGGAAAATGATCAAGGTTTTTATGAGCAATAAATAATATCATGTATAAAGAGTTGGTTAGAACTAAAACTTGTAAATATGAATTTATTTAATAATAAATTTGATGATGTTTATATTAACAATCAAAATGTCAAAGGCTAACTAATCTCAATTCATGAATTAAAGTATTGGATCAATACTATATACAGTCAACCCTTGTTTCAACAAATCTATAAGAAAATTGCATCTAAAATTCATTATATATACCATTGCGTTGTAACACAATTACAGCAAATTAATTATGATTTTATTGTAAATGAATTTAATATGGATATAGTAAATATGAATTTATTCAATAAATTTGATGATATTAACAATTAAAATGTCAAAGGCTAACTTATCTCAATTCATGAATTAAAGTATTGGATTAACACCATATACAATTGAACCTTGTTTAAATCCATAATAATAAGAAAATTGCACCTAAAATTCATTATATATACCATCGCGTTGTAACACAATTACAATAAATTTAATTATTATGATTCGTTGTAATGAATTTATTTAATAAATTTGATGATATTAACAATTAAAATGTTAAAGGCTAACTTATCTCAATTCATGAATTAAAGTATTGGATTAAATACTATATACAATTGAACCTTGTTGCAATAAATCCATAATAATAAGAAAATTGCATCTATAATTCATTATATATACCATCACGTTGTAACACAATTACAATAAATTTAATTATTATTATGGTTCATTGTAATGAATTTATTGTGTATATTGCCATTATCCAAGTGTTCCTAAACCTAAAAAATAAAATATAATATATATTATAAAAAAACATTAATTGTCACACTGTGCAAATACATGGGTCAAACTCCAAAAATATTTTCACTTGTTAACATAATAGGAAAACATATTTAAAAACGTTTTTTGCATAAAAAGGTTGATCAACATTCTAGAAATTAATTGAACATTCTAAAGCAAAAAAAGAATATAGGTGTTACATTTTTTTTTTCCTTTAAAAAACAAGTTTTATAATGAGGTATTTTAAAATCCTGAAGTTCAATCATATTAATTAAAAATGATAACATTTAAGCAACAGTTTGACATTTTAATAAAAATTTTCAATAGTCATAATAATAATATTGATAAACTATTGATAAAATTTTTTTCAATATTATTATCTAAAAATTTATTCCACCGAAATAAATCTTTGCAAAAAGATTTTACTAGTAGATGCATTGAAAAATTGAAAATGGAGTCGATATTATTAAGTTCAAATGGTATAAATATATTTAATAATTTTTTAGAAGTCTATTCTGCAGTTGAGTGAGCTTTTTTTAACAGTTTATAAAAATAATGCTATGTATGATGAAATTGATTATTTGAGACACTGCTGGTTGTTGAAATGGCAGACCCATTGGTCACCGAGTAGACAAATTTGAAAGGCAGGCCACCAAGTAGAGCCAGTTAGCTATCATTGAAAAGATTACATAATTGTCTGATTATAATTTTTTTTTGTTTTTTTAAAAAAAAAGAGAATGGTTGACTAATTAAATTATTTTATTAGAATTTGAAGCACTCAACGCTTTTTGATGAAGCATGGAACACAGCCAATGCATATATTTTAGTAAAAGAATTTATATCAGAACATAACAAGAATGAAAAAGAAGAAAGTAAGAATGAAGATGATGATGAATATGAAGATGAATAGCATGGTGGAAATTCGTTTTTGATCAACATTCGCAATTATCACATATATGTGTTACATTAAATTTATATTAATACACAGTGAAACTCGATTTAACGGATAAGTTTGGCCCAAGAAATTTATCCGTTATATCGAAATCAGTGTTGGAAATTCAGGGTGCGCA